AAAATTAAGAATAATGAAAGAGAATCGTAGAATTATTGGTTACATTACGAAGTCAACAATTTTATGAAATAGCTACATCATACATATGATAGACCTACAGAATAAAGAAAGTTTATTTGTTTCAGATATTAGGACGAATATAAAATATATAATATATATAGCAATGTTATTACAAGTAACGATCGAATCGTCTATAAGAAGTCAAGAACTACTTAATAAACTATCTCGGAACTTGTATATGTTCACCCAATAACTATTTTATAATGAAATAATACGCGTGCTCGATCCGGCGACCCGTGAACTAGGCGCAGTAACCTCCACTATCTAATCATCGCAAGTGCTAATGTTTTGATTTATACAATTAGTGTAACGTCTAATTAAACACAATTATTGCTTGTCTATACACTTATTTAACGATACATGACATTACGAGGTATTTTATCGCCTGGATTACGAATCACTAAAAAAGTAATACATAGTCTATTGAAATGTTACAATTTTAGGGCCAAACTGAACATTTAATAGAGGACGCAATTTTTTTTATGGGACATGTAGGTCAAGATCAGCTTAAACCCAAGTTTCTTGTGTGTGGGGTTGGCGCCCTTGTCCCCCGGCCGGCATCTTGGGAAAAGGGGTGAAATCACGTTTTTGGCTATCTCCTAAACTATCTATGGTACAAAAAAATTGTGAGGAAATATTTTGTGGCAAATCACTTTTTCAATTCAAATCAATTAAGTTTTTTTATCATAAATCCAAAATTCAAAAAGTTATAAGTAAAAAAGTGAAAATTTTTCCCATAAATAAAATTGCGTCCTCTATCAAAATATGTTCAGCCCGTGTAACTTTTCAATGGACTATAACATTTTTGGAAAATTTGGAGTTGACTCCAATAAAACTCAAAATTTAAAAACTGTAATATACTGACTACATACTATCTATTGTAATAAATCTCAATTCGTTACATTCTTAAATTCAACCTAACAACGCCCAAGGTGATGATAGATATTAACACCTAGACATTTGAAGTATTTTAAATTTTAACTACTTCTTTTCCGCTGAAAAAAGTATTAGAAAGCCTGATCGTATTACTAAAATAATCTGCACTGCATTACGGGGTATATCTCAGCCCTCGAACACACGATCTGAGTCCTAACCATTCATTAAGTTACGCTTGTCAACGTGTCCTATACTTTCATAGAATCGACATTAATCATAAATCATGAAATTACCATCGAATGACTGACCTCGGCACAGTTTGCGACTTCTAGATTGTCTATATCATATTCACTGGGACAATATTTTAATGCATGGGGCCAAAAAAGCTTTTAGATACATACAAATATCATGAAATTATATAAAATACCAATAAAGTATTACTAGCTATTAGCAACTCGAAACCAAATCTCATTTTTAAAAATTGAATCATTTCGGTTCAATTCCCAGTTAGAGCACAAACACGTATGGATATGGCCTCGGAGGATAAAGCAGAGACAGAACGACTTTAGAGACTCTGTCATAATTCATCTTAAATCGTGACAAACCACATATGGATGACGAATACATGATATATTATCTTAAATATTATTAACGAAACGTAATATATGTTCTAGTAAATACATATAAATCACAAAGTCTTCACGCGGTTTTGGTGTAAACAATCTGTTGCAATAAAAAGCACTCTGTATATAGTATGACAGGATAAAATTAGACCAAATAAGTCATAGAATGTGTCGATCCATTGTAAAGTGTATACTGAGCCAAGTTACAAGCAATAACGATTTTTTCGTTAAAATAAATATTTCGATAAGAGAAATCTCATATTTTTACGATAGAGGGTACACACATTTACCTTTCATTCGTAGCCTAATTTATTCCTCGTTAACTGAGGTAAAGCCAAAAAATCTATAAAACTTGACACTTAACTTGTCTAAGGGGAAGTTTTTGGGCAACAGAGTGGAAGTCATACTCGTGAACGGGTACTACTTGTGGTGACTGGTCGGACTTGAATTCGTGTATGCGGTGATGTTAGTTATTTCGACGATGTATTTGTGTGTTGTTCCCACGAGAATGTAAGTAATGGTTGCAACTCCTTACAAACATTGTGTAAAACAAAAAACTTGGCGATTAAAAAGAGTGGCGGAGAGTTTATTGCCAGTTCTTCTCTTCCGTTCCGGCAGTAAATGTTAAATTAGAAGCATTTCATAAATATTTAATATCGCCAATAAGAGTGAAGCATCAATGAAAAATGTTGCGAAAACAGAAATATTTCTACTAAACTGTGAGCTTTTATTGCAGCGCGAACGGTCAAGTAACGATTTTGATTTCAATAAATTTCTTGGGAGATATAAATAGTCAAATATTTTTGCATTTAAATAATGATCGAATACCACGCGCGCATTTGTGATGTGCACTGTTCTTACTTAATGCAGGTAAAATCGCGTTAAATAATTTGGTTATTTTATTTACTTAGACCAAACGAGGTATAATTCCATATACAAAAAGCTATCAACCAGATCAAAAAACTAGTACCATGTTTATTATAATAATATTGAGCATGATAACATTCAAGGCACAAGATTTATATGATGTTACACTTAAAGGTAACCTCATTCTTATTTCTTACTGTATGAGTTTAACCAGAGTCAAAGGGGTAACGGGTATAAAAGTACTTAATTTCAATTACTAGATTAACACCCTATTCACACATATATTTGGGAAAAAGATGTCAAGTACAAATTTCACAAAAAGTATATTGAATCTGAGAAATCATATCTTCCTAAACAAGACAAGCAGATCGAAGTAAATTATTCTTTTCAAAGTATTTTTTAAATCCTAACAGAATACTAGATCTGAAACAAATGTTTACACAAGTGGTATTAAACTTACAATGGAAGCAGACTTAGTCATGCATTGAACTTATTTGTTATTGTATTGTGAAACTAGTATTAAAAATACAGTGTTAGAATTAAAATTTGACATTTTAAAAATTAATGGACCCATTTAACTGAAATTAGCTTAACCAGATCTCATATGTAGTAGAAGGAAAATGGTTGATGATAAAAGTGCGACGTAAATAATGATTTTTACTTATATATGAGATTTATTCTCTTTGTAGTCAGAGATAGACATTGTTTTGTCTTCACAGTGTTCCGATATATAAGTGATAACCAATATATTTTTTGTCCCTTAAATTAAATATTGGGACAAATGATAACTATGGGGTAAGATCATATGAAATAAATACAATTTTCTTTAGCATGCAGACCACTAAGTTTTCATAAAAACTATAATTTTGACAAATTGAACAAAGAGAAGCACCTTAAATACAAACATCAAAAATGGCTTCACAATTAAATTGGCCATACATGTTGAATAGTTTTAAACTTTGTTATAAAAATAAAAGAAACACAAAAAAGTCTTCTGCCATATTTCTCACTGATTGGCTATATCAAAAGTGATAATTTAGAACTATGTAGTTTATTGACTTTATGCTCAGGGATAAAATCAACAATTAATGATCAATAATTCAGCTCACAACCAATAGATTCCATTGTAACAATCTAGTGGCCTTGATCTGATTATATCATATTGGATGACACTCAATGTAGAATACTAGCTAGAATAAAAAATTAAATCCTCAAAAAAAATGTAGTATGAATAAATATTTTTTTACATAAATAGTTTTGCAAGTCTACTTCATAGTTTTTATTATTATTTATTTAAATGTTACAGTGAATATTAATACCATGCTTAAGTAAAATAAAAAAAATACCTTTTTGCAAAAGTAAATTTTGTTAACAAAGCAGTCTTCACCATACCCATACATAGATCAAAATAGGTAAATATGATTTCTCACTCATATAGACTATTACATGAAAATCCGGGTATACAGATTTTAAGTTTAAGGTATATTTACGAATACCACGTTTACTCTTCGCTGGCAATACGTAAATAAACAAAATTAAGTATAAACACGCACGTTTATCGGACAGCAAAATTGTAATTGGCTATTTTATACACCGTAAATGAACGATATTACAATTGAATCTCTATATCCATGACAATCAATATAACCTTTTCTATGAATACGGGCTAGAACTTAGACTTTCAACATTTCAACCTAATACTACTAGCGGCAGCATCCATAAAAGTATAAACGCGCTTGAAAAAAATCCTTTGCCACAAAAAAACGAAGGAAAGCACAATGGATATCCACCTTGACAATCGCTGCTATAACCAAAACATAGCCTTTATAGCCGTTTTGATGCACGTTGAAGAGATGTACAATACATTAACACATGCGTTGATTATTCCTGCGTAATAATCAACTGAGTAAAACCATTCAAAATTGTATTTATAAGCTTATTTTCTATAAAATCTGGTCGGCTCCTACACTGAATATGGCATAACACGCAAACACTGAATGAATTTCACAATGAACACTGCACTGGATCGCGAATGTTCGTTTGAGGAACGCGAGACGAGCCTTGTTTTGTAATATTTCACTCACCTTGTTGTTTATTTGCTATTTTATTAAAACAGTTTTGAAAAACTTCATATAAATGCATAGGCTCGTCATCGCTCGTCGCCATTTTGGAATTTACTGTCCAAATAAACCATAGACAAGATAAATGGCAATTATTAATCCATTCCGTCTTACGCAGTGGAGGGTTAAAATTCTACACAATTCTTTTAATCTTGTCAATTCTTTTAATCTAAAAAATGCATTTATACATATTTATATTGTATTACTTATTATATATTTTCACTCACTTGATATTGATATGTTAAAAATAATAAACAACAGATACACAAATTGTGTTATGATCACAATATAAACTGGTAAGCTGTGGTAAATTTTCCAAATCGCGGATCGCCATGTTTTGACGATGTTTTGCAACACTTTGACGTAAGGAATTTAGAATTTACGAAAAAGTCAGCCTACAAAATTTTCGAGTGCACTTCAAGGAAAATATATATAAAATTTACATACATGTAACATGTTCTCATTGAATTCTTTAAACACTCAAAACCAGGTAAGTTTGAATAAGCTGACGAAGCATTTTTAAAGGGGCAGAGGGGCAGATCTTCATGTAACCTTCGTTGTTTCAGATTCTTATTAGTTTTAGTCAACTATCATCGCGATATTCTGGTTTATTCAGACATAGAAAACAAAACAACTGTAAAAGCAAAGATGTGAAACAAACGGCAACATATTATGATGCAACTATTTGTCATGAGAGTTTTCAAGAGGCGCTGAAGAATTTTGATAAGAATGCCTTACGTGATTTGCGTAGTTATGATGCGAGGTCCTCGGGGCTGCTTACTAAAAGCCTATCAATCGGGAAGATAAGTTCATCCAAGAAAGTATCACATGTCTCTGGCTTTACTTTCGATCAAAATAAAAATGGATGGGCTGCTCTTACACCTACTGTTACAGTTGATTTGAGTGGAAGAAAGTTTAGCGTTTCAGATAATTTTGTAGGTTTATTATCGAGGAGTATATTAGATACCACTTTTAAATACAATATTCAAGTGAGAGGTTTTAAAACTGAGAGGAATGTACATGCAGATTTAAAAAGGAATCCAAATCTTCTTAACAGACTGCGTAAGTCTTTGGGTCAGTATGGTATGCTTAAAATTATTTTACTCATTTTTCATTCATATATTTTAATAATTATCATAGGATTTGGTATATACATAGTAAATTTTTGAAAATAAATTTAGTAAATAGATTTTTGTCCTTATTAAGAAATTTGTCTGTAAATAGTGGCAAAAAGATTATGGCCCTTAATTTAAGAATTGACAGTGAATGGAAATATAGTCATTTAATTTTTTTAATGTTTGTAAGTGTACCTCAATTAATAAATATATGACTTTGTTACTACAAATTTACATTTGTAAGTAAACAACCACAAAAAAATTTGCATAGATATTATATTTTTTAGATTGGATTATAAAAATATATATTTATAAAAAAGAAGTGGATGTGTCTAAAAGATTTATATACTCTTTATGCAAAATAATCAAATAGATAATAGAAAAAAAACCCACCTTATTTCAGGCTTAAATGGAGCAGAGACAGAAAAACAGACTGCAGCTGGGCCAGAGGTTGCACCTAGACTGGAGAAACTATTAAATGAAGATACAATTCTTACACATCAGCAGAAAGATAAGATTAAGATTGCATTTGCTGAAGGCTACTTAGCTGGTAATATTGTACTTTAATTTTATGGTGATTGTTATATTACAATATATTTTAATATGAGTGTGTACAAGAAAAACAACTAATCCCTATAAAAATCTGATGTCCCTAATTCAATGCTAAGTTAATGTATAATTAATAGTGCTAAAAAATTACTTTAGAGGGAACCCTCAGAGCCTTTTCATAATATTTTATCTTTATTTGGTAAATTCAGGATCCCATCCAGAAAATGCACGTGGAACAAAGGCATCGAAGTACCTGAAGTTAGTGCAGCAGCTACTCACAATAGTTCTATTTCTCGCCATTTTTGTCAGCCTTATGGCTTCTGTCAGTGGCACTGTCTTCCGGTAGGTATTTTTTGCCAGCATACTGAATATTATTATTTGATAATAGGCTATTTGACCATATAAAAAATAAATTATTATTGAGAGTATTCCATACAACATATGGCTTTCCCAAGCGTTATAGAATAAAATACTGAAATACTCCACAATGCTAACTATTTGATAATTAAAACATTGATTAAATAATATTATTTTACTTTTCAGTATTCAATTGGGAAACCAAGTGGAGGTAGATCCAGAAGACATCTCTGTTACTTTTGATGATGTGAAGGGGGCTGATGAAGCTAAACAAGAGTTGAAGGATGTTGTGAGTAAATTTTTTTGTTTACTGGCTTAATTGCCTAAAAATCAAACCTATTTTAGGCATTAGTGTCAACGCAAATTATGACTCGTGTGTATTGAGAGGTTGGATTTCTAACGTAACACTTTTTTGAAGAATGAAAGTCTATGGTCTAGATAAGTGTAGATTTTAAAATAAATAATTATATGAAATCTATGAAATATTCTACACATATTTTTTATGGCAGGATATTGTATGGGGTAACTTTAATAACCTAAGGTTGTCATTATGGAATCTGGGATCAATTATAAATTTATGGTAATACCATTTAAGACCAGAACTTTTAAGCAACTTAATTAATAAGTTCACTATCACCTTCAATTTCAGGTGGAATTCCTTAAATCTCCTGAGAAGTTCTCATCTTTGGGTGGTAAATTGCCTAAAGGGGTGTTGCTAGTGGGACCTCCGGGTACCGGTAAGACACTCTTAGCTCGGGCAGTGGCCGGCGAGGCGAGGGTGCCCTTCTTCCACGCGGCCGGGCCAGAGTTTGATGAAATCCTAGTGGGGCAAGGGGCGAGACGAGTCAGAGATCTCTTCAGTAAGTCTCATTGAATCTTATGAAGGATGGTTCTTATGTTAAACTATATTTCTATTTCCTTTAGTTTTACCATAAACTATAAAGCAATATCAAAATAATAAGCAAATTAAAAGATTTTTCTAATTCCATAAAAAACCTAATGTATTATCTTATCTACCTGTTGAGAAGAACCCGTTATTGTGCAGAAGCGGCAAAAGAGCGGGCGCCGTGCGTCATATTCATTGACGAAATCGACTCCGTCGGAGCCAAGAGGACGAACAGTGTGCTGCACCCTTACGCTAACCAGGTAAAACAATATTTAAAAAATAATACAGATTAAAAAGCATACAATTCAGCCTCCAGGTCCTTCAAGCGAGAGATCGCTAAAGCAAAGTCAGAGCACATTGCCAGATTTGGTGAGAAATTGGCCCACCTCCCTTCGGGAACTCGAGCCTTCTGGTCTCTTGCCAAAGCTGTCCAAGGGAATTTCTGTCAGCCCTCAATTCCACCACTGCATAGGGAGGATGACTCACTTGCCCATACCGCGAAAGAGAAGGCCGATCTTCTAGGCTGTCTCTTTGCGTCGAACTCCACTTTGGATGATCAAGGGAAGGAACCACCGACATTATTGCGGTGTGATACTACGATGCCCGAAGTTATATTCCGGCAACGTGCTATCCGTAAAGCTTTGTCTTCCTTGGACATCCATAAGTCGAGCGGGCCTGATGGCATCCCTCCAATTGTGCTGCGTACTTGTGCTCCTGAGTTGGCTCCGGTCCTAACGCGCCTTTTCCGGTACCTTTACACGCTCGGCACTGTTCCGAAGTGCTGGAAGATCGCTTCGATACATCCGATCCCTAAAAAAGGCGATCGCTCTGATCCGTCCAACTATCGCCCAATAGCTATAACCTCCTTGTTCTCCAAAATAATGGAAACCATTATTAACAGCCAGCTCTTGAGGTATCTAGAGGGCCACCAGCTGATTAGCGATTCTCAGTACGGCTTCCGTCGTGGTCGCTCGGCTGGTGACCTCCTTGTATACCTTACACATAGGTGGGCAGAGGCAATTGAGTCCAAGGGGGAGGCGCTGGCGGTAAGTTTGGACATAGCGAAAGCCTTCGATCGGGTGTGGCACAGAGCATTGCTCTCGAAGCTTCCAGCCTATGGGCTCCCTGAGAAATTATGCAACTGGATTTCCAGCTTTCTCGCTGATCGGAGCATCAAAGTCGTCATCGACGGAGCATGCTCCGACCTGAAACCTGTGAATGCTGGTGTCCCACAAGGCTGTGTCCTATCCCCGACCCTGTTTATTCTGCATATCAATGATATGTTGCAGCTTAGCAACATTCATTGCTATGCGGACGACAGCACTGGGGATACTTTTTACACTGGCCGGGCAGGTATCTCTCGGGCTGTTGTCGATGAGTACCGGAACAAACTTGTGTCTGAAGTCGAAACTCTTCTACGTGGAGTCTCGGACTGGGGTAGACTAAATCTAGTCCAATTTAACCCCAAGAAGACACAAGTATGCGCGTTTTCCGCTAAAAAAACTCCCTTTGTCGCTACTCCCTCTTTGAAGACACTCTCCTTAAAGCCTCAGCTAGCATCGGAATACTGGGCGTTGACATATCGAATAACGTTCAGTTTCGCGGTCATCTGGAAGGAAAGGCTAAATTAGCCTCCAAAAAGCTTGGTGTGCTCAGCAAGGCGAGACGGTACTTCACTCCGGGCCACCGCTTGCAACTATATAAAGCGCAAATTCGGCCCCATATGGAGTACTGCTCTCACCTCTGGGCGGGAGCTCCCCAGTACCAGCTCCTTCCACTTGACCGTATTCAACGAAGAGCGGTTCGAATCGTCGACGACCAGTCACTTTCCGTGCGGCTTGATCCCTTGGCGTTGCGTAGAGATGTGGGATCTCTCTGCATCTTCTACCGCATTTACCATGGAGAGTGTTCAGAGGAGTTGTTCGGTCTAATACCTGCAGCTGAGTTTCATCATCGGACGTCAAGGCAAAATACAAAATACCATCCGTATCACCTCGACGTCCGTCGTTCCACAACAGAGCGTTTTCTAAGGCAGTTTTTGCCGCGCACCACCACTATGTGGAACCAGCTGCCCACAGAAGTATTTCCGAACCAATTCGACTTAGGGTCCTTCAAGAAAAGAGCGTACCAATTCCTGAAAGGCCGGCAACGCACTTGCGAGCCTTCTGGCATTGTGAGTGTCCATGGGCGGCGGTATCACTTAACATCAGGTGAGCCCGCCCGTTTGCCTCCTATTACATTAAAAAAAAAAAAAAAAAGATTACCTAATTATAAAAATTTAAATAATAAATAATTCCTTAAATTAAATTGACAGACCATAAATCAGCTGCTCTCGGAGATGGACGGTTTCCACCAGAACGAAGGAGTGATAGTACTGGGAGCCACCAACAGGAGGGATGACCTCGACCAGGCCCTGCTTAGACCTGGAAGATTTGATGTCGAGGTCTGTATAGCACTCAAAATACATACAGACGCATAAATAATTAATTCTTAATTATATTTGGTAAATTAATTTAAGGATGCTTTGATGAGACAGAAATTTTGGTCGGTAGGTGTCAGTCCCGACGCCGGACTACGGGGGTCGCCTGGAGATCCTCCGCATGTACGTGTCGAGGATCGCCGCTGCGCCGGAGATGAACGTGGAGTCCCTGGCCCGGAGCACCACCGGCTTCACTGGAGCCGACCTAGAGAGCATGGTCAACCAGGCCGCACTCAAGTTAGTACTTTACAAATGTGCTTCGGAACTAATTTCTTCAAGGAATTCAAAGATGCCAGTCAATCTTTGAAATCTAATTTGTTAGAAATGATAGTAAAGTATTCTTGACATAAATGTTTTTACATTTACGAAGGACCTTTTAAGTATTACGTAAGCAGATTTACTGCCATCGATCCCCCCTCCCCCTCCTCTTGTCTGCACAAATAAGCAAAGCTCTCAAAAATAATAGCACATAAACCTATTAATTTTTGTTGGAATCCTCGAAAATGCATTTCGTTTATATTTATATCAGTATAGACAATGTGTGGGTAATATGTGTAAAAAAGTTAATAATTACTGTTGACGTAATCACCAAATAAGAAAATCAAAGACCCCCCTGCCCCCTATAGTGCTTACGTAATACTTAAAGGGTCCCTCGCAAATATTTAATATTGTCTTATTTTATATAAATAAAAATATATACTAATATGCTGATATAGTGTTATCGCGGAGCGGAGCAGTGTATTCAGGTTCGAACCCAGACTGCAACAATGAACTTTTTTTGTATCCACGACCCAAAAATTCAATGGCCGTGCCGTCAGGCACAGAAGGCTGTCTACCTGCTTGCCTGTTAAATATGATCGGCGAATTATCACATGAAATATTATATAAATTGCAGGGCAGCAATCGACGGAGCCAAGACAGTGACGATGTCATACCTGGAGGAAGCTCGCGACAAGGTCTTGATGGGTCCAGCCCGGAGGAGCCGTCTGCCCGACGACGAAGCCAACGCCATCACCGCCTGCCACGAAGGAGGACACGCCTTGGTCGCTCACTACACCAAGGTATACGCTTATCGATCAGCCTGTAGAGGGGCACATTGGGGCACATTTTTCTTTTTCAAGTATAGTTAAGTAGCTGCTCAAAATTGCCCCGTATGACGATAAGGCTGTGGGGTGTAATAAATAATTTCTGCCATTCCCAGGATTCGCACCCACTTCACAAGGTGACCATAATCCCTCGCGGCCCTTCACTCGGCCACACCGCCTACATCCCCGCCAAGGAAAGGTCAGTTGTCCAAAATTATTTAAATATTTGAGTTTCTAATTATTAATAAATGAATCTCAATAAAACGGTGGACATATATTTTGTCATATCGATATTGCAGATACCACGTGACAAAGCAGCAGCTTCTGGCCATGATGGACACCATGATGGGGGGCAGAGCGGCAGAGGAACTCGTCTATGGACCCGAAAAGATCACATCCGGTACTCTTTTATTATACTAATAGCTGAAAATGAGACAAAAGTGAAATTAGGATTTTTTTTATCGGTCTCAAAATGTCAATTTCAGGTGCGTCTTCCGATCTGAAGCAGGCGACGTCGATCGCCATACACATGGTCCGCGAGTGGGGCATGAGCGACAAAGTGGGGCTCCGCAGCATGGAGGCCCCCAAGGGAGCCTTCCAGCAGGAACAGCTCGGCCCGCAGACCAACGAAATGGTGGATTCGCTTTCTTTGACGTTTTAACATCTGTGAACTGACTATTAGAGAATAAAGATTACACTTAACTGAAATCGATGTCTAGGTGGACTCGGAGATCAAGAAGATCCTGTCGGAGAGCTACGAGCGCGCGAAGGCCATTCTGCGGGCCCACGCCAAGGAGCACAAGGCTCTGTCCGAGGCTTTGCTCAAGTCAGTGTGGTATTTATTGTATTTCCTTTTTAAATAATAATTTAATCGTTTTTTTAATAATTAAAATAAGTCAGAAGCATCTTTTAACATAAGAATAAAAAAACTGCTTCTGCCAGATACGAGACCTTGGACGCAGACGATATCAAAGCCATAATGAACGGAGAGAAGACCAAGATGGAAAAGCAGAAGAGCAAAGAGTCCAGCGGAACCCCTGCGGCCCAGACCCCTCCGGCCCCCGTCCCCTCTGGAACCCTACTCGGACAGCCGGCAGCCGCTTAGGTATTCATTTAAATTAAGAAAAAGACTTGGTTTTATTAAATTAGCCAAAAGATGGCGCCACGGGTGGACAAATGGACTTTTAAGAATTTTTCTTGTATTCACTTGTTTAGTCTTTACAAAAAAGTTATATTGAGGTAGTTGAAAGTTCTTGGCTTAACTTGTTCTAAACAAATTCGTACATACCCTAAATATATAAATATAGGAATAAACTGAAAATAAAATAGTCTTATGAAAAATAATAAAATAATCAATATAAACTTGTTATATCAGACTACACAGATGTGCCATCAATGCCACATCTAGAAAAAAATTAAATTCTAACATCCGAGTTTCGCTTGGTTGACTGACCAAGTTTTTTATGTCTACCCACATTTTTGG